GGCGTCCTACCACTAGACTACCGTGCCCAGCGTCCTACCACTAGACTACCATGCCTGGCGTCCTGCCACTAGACTACCGTGCCTGGTGTCCTACCACTAGACCACCGTGCCCGGTGTCCTACCACTAGACTACCGTGCCTGGCGCCCTACCACTAGACTACCTTGCCCAGTGTCTTACCACTAGACTACCGTGCCTGGCGCCCTACCACTAGACTACCGTGCTCGGCGTCCTACCACTAGACTACCGTGCCTGGCGTCCTACCACTAGACTACCGTGCCCGGCGTCCTACCACTAGACTACCGTGCCCAGCGTCCTACCACTAGACTACCGTGCTCGGCGCCCTACCACTAGACTACTGTGCCTGGCGTCCTACCACTAGACTACCGTGCCCAGCGTCCTACCACTAGACTACCGTGCCTGGCGTCCTACCACTAGACTACCTTGCCCAGTGTCTTACCACTAGACTACCGTGCTCGGCGTCCTACAACTAGACTACCGTGCCCAGCGTCCTACCACTAGACTACCGTGTCTCATAAAGTGAATCATTCCTCTCTTTGAAAAACATTTTTTTCTAGAATTAAATTGTATTCCCAAAGAGACAATTGATATGCAAGTACAACCACAAGGTAATATTAAAAAATTCCAAAAATATTCCGGTTTTGTATACTTTCCGTTTAACACATGTACATTCATATAGTGTACAGGAGCCACACAAAGCTTAGGTACATAATGGTATGTCTTTAGAACTATATTATTGGTGTTCCTAAATGTGAGAAGACCAAAGTTTTTCACTGTCAATTAACATACATAAGGTGCCATACACAACAACTGACAATATCAAATGTAAGTATACATGTACTAGGATATACTAGTATTATTATGTTATGTTAAAATTGATTCATGGCAAGTCAAAATGACATCTGGATAATTATAATGAACCTCAATTGAACTTGTAAAACATATGCATTAAGGTACAAACCTGCAGAAAATACATTAATCCTTACGACAGGACAGCGAGCACATTCACAATGCCAGACCTCAACTAGCATGGATATATGTGTACAATACTTATAATTTCCAACACAATCGCTTGCTCTCACTAGAGCTCGAGCCAATGAGAAATGAAAGGTCTTATTATCATATACCTCTTTGTACATTTAAAAAAAAAATGTATACAAAACCATACTATAATTAGCCTGGGACAATGTGCTTTGTTGGGAAGGTTATTGACTATGAGGTATAATTGATCTGAGCACCATATTCACTTTCCTTTGATTCTCCCTATTCAATGGTAAAGTGCCCGTACAAAGCTGGAACCTCAGACCTGCATGGCCACTCACCCACATCGCTGTTCTATCTACAGTCAAGTGGCCGATACCACTTTAATTATTCAGGTTTAATCACATGAATCATATTGAAATTCTCTATCTGAGCAACACCATCAAAGAACTTGTAGTTCTGCCCATAAGATCAACACTGAATTCCCTAGTAAAATGAACTGTATACATTGTACTTGTATAATGGTGGACAATTTTCCACTAAATTGTAAAATGGACATCAAATGTTCTGTTTGTGTAAGATGATATAAAAATATCTAGGTAAGTAATGCTGACTACTACAGGTTAAGATCAAAGTTTACGATACCCTGGTACAGATTTCTATAAATAACGTATGATACGACTGTTTGGTAGATAAAGGACAATGGCGATGGAATCTAGGCTAAGAAGGTGTTGACATTACAGTACTAGGTAGTATTACACATAAGAATGTATCAGGTATCTAATAACAGTACAACATCACATGGAATTATTTATAATAACAGTAATGTAGTAGGACTGCCCCGACACCACATGAAACAAAATGCCCCTTGGGCCTGTATCTACTGACTACTGGCCAGGTGTGCTAACATGATGAACTTAAGCTGGACATGATCAGTCACTGAAAGACAAAATATGGACATTGTTTTTCTCTTATTTACATTTATAACTTTTTTCTTAAGAAAAATGGTGACTTTCCAAGGTTATTTCTCACCTGTACTTTATTGTATCTCATATACCAACTGGCCAACTGGGGATTGATTATTATACCTTTTTAAGCAAAATAATTACAAATTACCAGTCCATACATGATATAAACCGACAGCCCTTAAATTTACATGTAAACTATTCGTTTATTTTGTCTGACCTTTGTGGTGATTCTGTGTCTTTATGCAAATGAGTATTGTATATTTTGTTTGGCACCAGTGTGGTCACTCAGTATCTTAATAAGAAAAGGTGATTTTGTGTCTTAATGAAAAGGAGTATATTTTGTCTGCCCCCTGTGGTGACTCATGAGATTAAAGTTTATATTGCCTGGCCTCTGTGGTGATTCTGGGTCTGGTGATTCATTTTGACATAACCTGAAATTGATTGAACTCCAACACGAAACAACCCAGACTCCCAGTCCAATACATCACTGTAAATGTGTATTGAAAAACAATTAACGACGTGATGCAGGGCTGTTATAGCATCTATAAATCTTACAGCATAGCATTCATCTTTAATGGAGACCATTTGACTTTAGAATATGGAGACCATTTTACTTTAGAATATAGAACTGACATATCTTACCAATCGGTAGATATAAGTACATTTATAAGTGTATTAGGATCATATTCTGTCAGCACTGATACCACAATTAAATCTCAAAATCACATATAACAGTTTTGAAATCAGACAACCTGGAGTCTCTTGATCGAACAATATTATCAGTCATGGGCTTTTTCAGAAAATAAACTTATAGCCCTTGTAATAACATCCTTAAGTTATTTTCAGTCTTAAAACTGGCCAACTGTCAATAGTGGTGCAATGTCGTTGGCGAAGAAAAAACGATACGACACTGAATTTACAATCAGGGTGTATATGCTTCTGTTTATAAGGGTTACTCGTACAGTCTGTAGTATGTTCTATTGACAAATCTTGCTCCTAAGATTAATTATAAATCTAGAATCTGTCTATAAATCTCAAAACAACTTCAAAACATCTACCAATACAAGTGGAACACATATATTTACAAATAAGATAAAAACTATTGCATTCGCACAATAATGTATTTCATGTGTACACATCAGTTAAATACTAGACGAAATTGACAGATATTCCAGATTTGCTTTGAAAAGGATTAATTTCAATGTGAAAACAGAAAGTAATACATCAATTAAAGAAATTCTTTAATGCCTTTGTGATTGGCGATGTTTGTGCCGAGGTTTTGGTACGATACACAATGCTGACAAGATGCCTCTGGTAAGCGGCTATTGATCGTCTTTGATCTGTAATTTAAACATGCTCTGTATAATAGAATGTCATGTCTGACTTATATATACTCAGTACATACCTGAGTCAGGGTGTTTCCTATAGCTCAGAATTAGTTGTTTACTGTATAAGTACATGTTACTCATGTATATAAAGGAATTATTAGCTAATTCAGACTAGCGTAAAGTATACAGATGTATGTATACACTCAATAATTATATAGAAAGTTCAAACTTATAAACACTTCTGCATATATAGTATGAACTGCTACATCAGTACCAAAACTGCTCTTACAAAGAACTACAGTGCTTGTAGAAGTGCAGAATTAATACATACGTATGTTAGCCGATATGTACATCACTGTAACTAACAGACATTATGTACAAATGTCCAGAACAGTGGCTAAATAGTGGGACAACAGGATAAGAGGTGGCTATACATAGTGGGACAACGCATGATTAGTGATGGCTGGTTAGAGGGACAACAGGCTTTGTGTAGGCTATTTAGAGGGACAACATAATTATTTGTGGCTAGCTATAGATAGTGGGACAACAGGATTAGTGGTGGCTAGATAGTGGGACAACAGGATTAGTGGTGGCTACATAGCGGAACAACAGGATAAGTGGTGGCTAGCTATAGTTAGCGGGACAACAGGATTAGTGGTGGCTAG